TGTCACGTACTAACATCGCCTAAAATAAGGTACAAGTTTACATTTAGAATTCTTTTGATAATTCATATAACCACAACTTCAATAGGTTCCTCATAATAACATTTTAAGAGAAGTTAAACCGTCGCTCAAAGGTAGGGTCTATAATCCAACGTCACTTGCTCTGTAAGATCCAACCACTAGATTTTTTATTCATAAGTTTCTAAGGTCTTTAAATATTACGTACAATAATACTTCAAAGTTTGGTGGTGATCCAACGGTCAGATCATCGTTAGTCAGAATATTCAAGTGGCGGACCTTAACGAAAAATTCGACCTTTTCAAAAAATTACCAAATTTTACCAAAATGAAGATTTCAATGAGTAGAGCAAGTTTTATACCTGTGGCCAAGTCCAATTTGGCCGGAAAATACCCCAATTTGGCTCGCACCCGTCGGAAACCCTAGAATGGGTGAGCTTCGATTCTCCTTTCTCGGTGTTCCGACACCCCTACAACTGGTTGGGTCTTGTTCCTAGGTCCAAGGGGAGTTGATTAAGGGCGATGGTGGGTGGTGAGACTCACCGGGACGGCGAAATCGCCGTCGAGTACATCCGGTGCTCTGGTGAAGTTCCTGGCGATTTTGGACCTAAAATCCCTCAAATTTGGGTGGAGATGGTAGATGGGAAGTCACTGAGTGTTTTGCAGGTGTTGGATGGTGGTGCTTCAAAGGAAAAAATGGCAGAATCGCCGGAGTTAAGCCAGGTTGAAACCGTGTTACACGGGTCGACATGAACGGAGGGGAAGGAATTCCTTTTTCCTGATTGGCTGGCTCACTCTCCCTAATTTTTGATTGGTCCCTTAAACTTGTACATGATTGGGCCTCTTTCCCATAAGATGGGAGTTTTAATTAATTTCTAATCTAAAATTAAATAAAAGAAAGAAAACGATTTTGAACGTCTGTAACTATACCGTTAAAACCCAAATTCACAAACGGCTTTCGCCTATCCGTTCGTGGTTTCGCGATCTATTCGAAAAAATTAATTGTGACCTCGAAAGGTCAACGAATTTTAAAGATTAATTACAAAAATTGAAACCCGATAACTATTCGATTTAATTCCTAAAATTAACGAAATTAAAATTCACTAATAAAGATAACGTAAACGTGAAATACGAATTTAAATAACGAGATATGTAATGAATAGGGGATGAGATTTCACAAGTACAACCGTTGATCGCCATATCATGTAGTTTACAAAATTTGGTCTGAAAATTTGGTCTTTCTAGCATGACCCTTAACCTAAAGACAAAATTAGAAGAGTACTAAAAAGAAGGATGTACATTAAGGGTACGTTTATTGCATTGAACTATCTCAGACTAGACTAACTTTAAAGATTAAGTTGGACTGGCTTAGAATAGATTAAGTTAGACTGACTTAGTGAAGCGTTTGGTAAAATATTGAATTAAAAAATAGGATAATAAAAATGATTTTTTATTTATTTATAATAATCAATATTATCTACACTAAGGGAGTAGGAGATTGGGCTAAGGCTCACAATAGGCTAGCGCTAATGTGGTTCAATTTCGCCTTTGGCAAGAATTAGTGTCTCTCACTTCCAAGTGAAAATGAATACCACTAGATCGTAGTTCTAAGATAATAAAAATGATTTCAATGAAAATGCCTTTAACAATTTTGTCACAATTTCTCAACTAACAATGACAAAGTCTCATCTGTGTAAACACAAGCCACTGCATCATTGTATTCTGGTGGAACCCAATCAATTTTCACAATTCCAGCAGCCTAGTGCACCTAAAGCAAAAACAATCACACATTTGAAGAGGGTTGATCTGTGCCCACAACCAAACAGAAATAATAAAAAAAGAGTAAACAGAGATTACAAGGACAAAAGGTAGAAAATCGAGTCACCAACCGAGAATCTGATGGGAATGTTAGCTTTATGATCATTGCAGAAAATAGTACAGTTACCTGGCGTTTGTGGCTTAACACTTATAAGTTGAATCATCCGAGTCGTTGATGTGCGCTCAAACGGTGAACTCGAAATGCTACCACTGCCTAGCCTCACTTCTCTCGAGGACAAATTCCATCCACTCATCTTTGGCGCCCGATCGAAACTCATATGACGATTCGCTTCCAAGGAATACTCCTCGATCTGCCTCTCGATTGTCTTGTCCCCTATTTCTCGTCGATAAGCAATGGTTCAAACGCTTCATTGTACGGAGCCAAATGAAGTTCGTTATACAATGCCTTTAACCGTAGTAGTTCTAAGAAGATGGTCGATATGTGCCCACAATGGTAGGATACAGTGGAGGTATATAGGTCTTGTTGGAAATGGAAGAGGCGGAAAAGGGTAGAGAAGGAAAACGGAAGAGGCAAAAGGGGGTTTGAGACTTAGATAAGGCGGAATAGGGCAACAAAGTAAGACGGAAGAGGCTGAAAAGGGTCTGGGACTTAAACAAGGTGAAAGTAGGGTTGGGCACGGGCCGGTCCCAAATTTAGAGGAATCAAACCCTACCTGTTTTAAAATGTAACGGGGCAGGCTGGGCCAGGTAGAGAGATTTTGAGTTTGGGAACCAGACCTAACCCAACCCATTTCAAACAGGTCGATTTGGGACGGGTCAATAGGTCCAATTACTTTTTTTTTCCTTTTTTTTTTCAGTTTTGATACAGAGCTTCAGAACGTTCCAGATTGCTCCCATAGCAGCAACAGTTCTTCCCGATCAACCAAAATGGATTTCCTAAATCGACACCACAACTTCCACCAAGCAATATCGTAGATATGAAATGAAGTGATACCCAATCTCCCAGCCACGAACGCCATACCAGTCTCAACCAGAAATTGAAAAAAGCACGTGGAGTTTGGTGAAGGTCTGGGGTAACGAAGGTGAGTCAATGATAGTCTGAGTTCGATGACATCGTCGAGGAGAGTAGAGAAAAGATGAGTCAGCGACGATGACGGTAAGGGGGTGATAATGGTCGCGACGGCAGTGATGGGTGACGATGGTGGTGAATCGGTGGTGGTCTACGTTCAATGATGTGGGCGAAGAAAAATAGAAGTGGGAAAAGATGAGTTAAGTGGGAAATGTAGTGGTCCCTGTCTCTCTTGTTCATCTATCCCAATCCCAAATCAAGTTCTCTGTCTTTCAACTCCGATAATGCCTAAACCAGAGATCTCAATGATGGTGATGAGGTGGTGGTCATCGCTGCGATGGCGATGGGTTGAAGATGGATCAATCTTTTGGGTTTTTGGTGATATCGTCAAGGGAGATAGAGAGAAATGGGAAAGATGATATGAGTGTCGGTATTGTGGGACTCATGATGGAGGGAGATTAGGAGGAGGACAATCGAGAATATGGGCCATCGTCGTGGTCACCAGACTCGCTACGGCTATGATGTTCTGGATGGTGGAGAAGATGACTGACAGAGACTGTGGGTGGATACGAGGGGACGCAAAGAAGAGTGGAGTCTAAAACCAGAGAGACTCGGGTTTGATTGAGACCTAAAGTAAAAACTGACGGTTAAGATTGGATGATATTGTCCTCTTCAATCTTGTCCGTCCATTGCAATTACAAACGGGCCGGTCTGGGGCCTCGTTTTTCTATACATCTAGAACCGGCCCATCTCTAAAATTTCATTGCCCCGCCCCACCCCGCCCAACCCCGTTGCTCTTATTAAAAATTGGAACCAACCCATACCCGCCCCGAACCTTGATTATTTGCCCCGACCCGTGGTTCCTATACCCATTTGCCCACCCCTAGGTGGAAGTGGAGAAATTTTTTTAGTGTGACCGGTACACGAGGTGGTACACCATGTGTCACTATACAAATGGTGGGATATGTGTGTTAAAAAGTTAATAACTTAAAAAATAAAATTTCTCACCACTATTTAAAAACACGTGGTGTACCCCCGTGTTCCGGTTAAAAAATTTCTCGTGGAAGTGGGCAAAGAAAGAAGTCGTTCTTAGCAATCCCCTCATTTTTTAGGGCTCTCGCTAAGAATTTCTAGCGAGTGCCATTTAATTTCATTAAATTTAGTTCCAATATGAAACAAACACTGGACTGCACTAGTAGGTAGTCCAATCTAATCTAGCGAGAGTTAATGAGGCCTAACAGACACACCCTAAGTATACAATGGTATGGGTCGACCAAGTGCTCGACAAAATGCTTCATCGAAAACATTGAAAATTTTTTTGGCACTACATGCGCTATTATTTAATGGAACGAGGTAATTCTGTATCTACCACTACTTAGTTGTGCCCTCGGTGAATTAGCTATTTAGCTTTGCCATGATTGTCATCCGTAATGCAAAATAATCATCTAGCAATAAACCATTGTTCCATAACTGCAATAAACTTTGTGTGCCAACAACAATACAAATGGTTAATCTTCTTAAAGGGGGCACGTGGAAATTAATTCAAAAGCTGTGGTCCGTGAAGATATGAACAGATAAAAAGTCCAAGGTTGGTTGAAAGTTGGAAGGAGCTAAGCAAGCACACAAGTCGACAACGTAATTTCAAAACCGTGTTGCGCCGTCCTGCGTGTGTAAGCTGTGCCTTTCTCGAATCTTGATCTTCGGTCAATGTTGACAAACAAGACCAAACCAAAGCTAATTAGTGACCTTTATAAAAACCTAACGACTCTAAGAGTAACTCATTTTACTCATAATTCGGTTACATGACATTATTTTTAACTGAAATTGTGTTATATAATTTTCGTTTGTATTTAATAAATAATTACTTATTTTTTTAATATAACACATAAAATAATACATTACATAATTTTGTGTTGTAAATAGATATAAAATTTCTCCTCATCTGCAACTACCTACAAGGAGTGCCAAACATGCCGACTTATATATAATTAATATCTTATCCAGCAAAGTCGGAGCCTTGACCTTGACCATCAGGAATTTCAAGACCGACATGGCTTTTGGCTTTTGGCTTTTTCCTCCTCCATCCCCATATATCTCTCGCTATATGTATAAAATAACAATTTCTAGATAGATGGAGATAAATCATGAGACGTGACAATCTTAAGAAAATACATTGAATGTCTTATCTCTCCCACCCTGCTATTTCCTCGCACTTTCCTTCCGGCATATTCCTTATTATTTGTTTTGCTTCTCCTTATAGCTATATATGCATTGGACAGCTCCCGAGTCCTGAGAAGTTTTACTTTCAATACTGAAACTTCACAAAGATTATTAACTTCTGCAAATTGCAAGCCTTTTGTTCTTTGATCAACAATGGACTCAACGCGGGTGAACACTTCTCTCGGCCTTAATCTTGTTCCGTTTTGCCGTGCCAATGATCATCGAGCTCCTGCCACTGTGAGTAGTTTTATAATTCAAGCTTTTTGTTGTTGTTGTTGTTGTTGTTGTTAATATCATTCTTTGATGCCTTGTTTCTTCTGGGTTTGACCTTATTTTCTTGGTAATTAAGTTATACACATTGGAACATCTACTTAATCTCCTAAATAATCTACTTTGAAATCAGATGCAACAAGAGTTTGAAGGGGGTTGTGCTCAACTCCAAGGCAATGCATTGGTGAAAGAAGAGGTGAGTTAATTTTGTTCAACATGGTAATGAAACTATGGGTACATATTTTTGCACGTTGTTTTTTCACCTCCTGCACATCCTTCTTAGTTTTGGCCATTAATTTTGCTTTGATTTGTCACCTTCTGTACGTCCTTCTTAATTTTGGCCATTAATTTTGTTTTAATTTGTTTAATCCAATGATTGAAAAAGAGAGAGTGCAAGAGGTGAAAAACTGTGCATAAATTATTTTTCTGAAACTGTTTGTCACCTATAATTTTTTAATGAAACTTATTAAATTGGTCTTCTTAATTTGATTTTAACCTATAGCAGGCAGCTAGTCATCATGATGTGTTGGCCGAAGAGTTGAATAGGGTAAGTGTGGAGAACAAGAAGCTGACTGAGGTGCTAACTGCCCTCTGCGAGAATTACAACACTTTGCAATCCCATGTGAGGGAATTGATGACCACCCAGCAGCAGCAAAACAACACATCTGATATTTATAGGAAGCGAAAGGCAGACAGTGAAGATTACAACAACGTGATTGGATTAATTAATCCCGGGACTAATACTGACACCAGTTCCATCAGTGATGATAAAGAGTATTCATGCAAGAGGCTAAAGGAGAACACCAACTTAAAGATTTCCAGGGTTTATGTTCACACCGATGCATCCGATACAGGCCTCGTAAGTCCTATTCATCAAATTAACCCTAGCCCACTGCATCTGTTGAGATTTCTAGGGATTTTTTTCTTCATAAACTATGAACTTCCATTAGTAATTTCTTTGATTCTAATTTAATGCAGATTGTGAATGATGGATACCAATGGAGGAAATATGGTCAGAAGGTCACAAGAGATAACCCATGTCCTAGAGCTTACTACAAGTGCTCCTTTGCCCCAAGTTGCCCTGTTAAAAAGAAGGTATTAATTACGTGAACCCAATCTCCTTACCAACATGAAATTCCAGAAAAATAGAAAAGAGAAGTGAGAGTTTTTTTTATACAACTATATTGTATTGGGGGTGTGGGGTTTGGTGACCCGATCTATGATTAGGTATCAAACTCATGGAAGTTGGACTTCAGATTTTTCACTTACAAAATAAAAAGAAATACTACTACATAGTGTTGGGGGTGTGAGATTATGTACTGATATTCTTACTAAAATTCTCAGGTGCAAAAAAGTGCTGAAAATCCATGCCTACTGGTGGCTACATATGAAGGAGAACACAACCACATGCATCCTGGTAAGCGAGCTGAAGTTACACTAATAGCCCCGGTATCTCCAAAACAGAACCAGCAGCTTATTACTAGTCCAATTTCCGTTTTACCATCCGTGGCAAAGAGATCTGCAGCTCCAACATTTTTATGTGACGATAATCGAATAAGTCCCAATAGTGCCATGTACCCCCAAGAAACTCAAGCTCCGGCGTTCCAACAGTTTTTGGTACAACAAATGGCTTCTTCCCTGACCAAAGATCCCGATTTCACATCTGCTCTTGCTGCTGCCATTTCAGGAAGAATTTCAGACCACACTATGGCCCGAAAATGGTGAAAAGTTAGAACCCTAATAAGAGTTACCTTGTTATCACTTAGAAAGAGAAAGAGAGACTGAATTTACAAACTAAATGATATGCCACCATTAAGTATGAAAACGTTTATCAACGCTTAAGTAATAAACCAATCATCAACTTCCATGTCCTTTAGTTTTCAAAATTTAGTCTACAAATTTAGTAGGCATTATCCTTTCTTTTCTTATTTACATTACATATGATTTGAGAGTTGTAATTAAAGTGTAGGGATGTAAATAAAATTTTGAAATCGATGAACCAAAATCTTCTTGTTCTTTGTTACCATTTATTCACTCATATATATTTACGTGACTTGTGTAAGAATCTGAACTTACCACAAATTGAGAAGTTAACGAATCTTGTTTATAACCCATTTCCAATTGGTTTTGAGATTGAACCTTAACTTTTTTATGGTACTGGATGTGCTTCATATTAGAGCAACTCCACCGTATCAAAGGCCCCCTAGGGCAACTTCCTATTCAATCTCCTCCAGTGAACAGTAACTACCTCTAATGAACAGTAATTACCTTTTGCATCTCCACTCCTAATTGAATAGTCATGGCAATAGGCAATAAAATATTATATTTTTAATTTATAAAATAATACAAAATAGTTTTATTTGTAATTTCGGATAAGATTTTTAATCGTTCTCGTTCTGCCACATGTCATTATCAGAAAAGACAATTTTTGGTGATAGATTTCGATAAGATTTTTATCCAATGCCATCGTGCCACGTGTAGTTACCTTTTCAGAATAGTTGAGGATAGATTTTCAATAAGATTTTTAACCAATTACGTCGTGCCACATGTCACAATCTGTTTACAATCTTTGAGGATAGATTTCGATCAAATTTTTAATGAATAACGGCATGCCACGTGGCATTATCTACAACCTAATCCTTTCTTTTTCCTCCTTATAACCCACCATCTATCCTAAGAAATCATACACCAAAATCAAAATCTTTATCATTATTCATAGTTTCTGCTTCTTTCTTACAATGTCTTCTTCAAGGATGTTGTGGGAAATCGATGAGCAAGTGAAAGAATTGTTTAAGCAAGGGGAAGAAATGTTCAATCTCCAAGTGGGCGAAAATGAGATGGAAGAACATGAGGATGAAAAGCGTAGAAAGAGAGATGATGAAGCAAGAAGCCAAAGAGCCTCACATTCCCGTCAAGTCATCCAAGTTGTGGCTCAGATCTCCAGGCCTAGCTGTTCTGCAAAAATTGATAGAAGCAGGCAACGACAAGGTACGGATCTCTTGGACGATTATTTTGTCCGTAACAATGCATTCCCTGATACGTACTTTAGATGTCGGTTTAGAATGGAATGACATTTGTTCAACAAAATTATGATTGCTGGTTGCAACCATGATTCTTACTTTGTACAAAAGAACGATGTTTTTGGTGTTATGGGTCTCCTTCCTGAGCAAAAAAATTATTGTGCCTTGCGGATGCTTGCAAATGGAGCATCTGCAGACTAAGTGGATGAGATAGTGAGGATGGGGAAATCAACCATTCTTGAGTCCCCGATAAGGTTTTGCTCCGCAATTGAATCTATCTACACCACAGAGTATCTCCGGAGACCTACTAAGATGGACTTGCAAAGGCTTCTGAAGAAGGGCAAGATGCGAGGTTTTCCTAGGATGATTGGAAGCATCCACTGTATGCACTGGACCTGGAAAAACTGTCCAAGTGCATGGCAAGGAGCTTATGGGGACAGAAAAAGAGCAAAAAGTATCATTTTAGAGGCGGTGGCATCATTTGATACATGGATTTAGCACGCTTTTTTCGGTGTTCCAGGAGCTCAAAATGACCTCAATGTCTTTGCCCAATCCCCAGTGTTCAATGATATCCTACAAGGAAAAGCATCAAAAGTCACTTATTGGATCAACAGACATAAGTACCACAGGCCATACTACCTAGCAAACGACATTTACCCAAAGTGGTCATCGTTTGTCAAAACAGTGCCACATCCGCGAAGTGCAAAGGAAAAACACTTTGCAAGCTGTCCATATAGGGGTGTAGGAAGGAAGTGGAGCGTTGTTTTGGTATCCTCCAAGCTTGTTAGGCGATTGTAAGGGGTGCTACTAAAATGTTTGATTTAGAGTCGCTTCAATCCATCATGATGATGTGCATCATTCTTCACAACATAATTGTGGAAGATGAGTATGATTATGATGCCGTTGATGAATATGAGCCAGACACGATGAACAATTCCAGAACGCAAATATATTGTGCTCATGATGCCACCGAAGAACCCGTGCAACACGAGCCATTACAAAGGGATGGACGTTACAATGAAAGGCTCATCAACGATATACTTCACTTCAGGACGCATATATTCACAATGCCTGGTAAATTGACTTGATAAAGCATCAGTGGGAATTGAAATTCATTTAGTGCATTTGTTTTTATTTGGTGTTTTCATTTAATTTTATTTGGTGTGTTTTTTAAGTTCATTTAGTGAGTTTTTTTTTTATTTGGTGTGTTTGTAATTTTATTTGGTATGTTTATGTAATTTTATTTGGTGTGTTTATGTCCTTAGAATAAAGATTCTCTTAGTTTAAATAATGACCAAATTAAATAAATATACTCTTAGTTTAAATAAAGTACTAAATTCAATAAATTGGAAACAACATAAAGTACTCTATTCAATAAATAAGAAATTACAACCCAAAGTAATTGGAAAATTATGGGGTAATTGGAAAACTATGGGCTCCGATTAAAACAAATTCCCTAGTCCCTCATGAAAGGAAAATCATCACCTAACAATTTGTGGTGCTATGACCATCTCCTCTTGCTCTTGCTTCTCTTGCACGCCTCATTCGCACAATGTCCGCTTTCTCCGAATTCCAAAAATATTTAGAATTCAAAGACATCGCCTCTACAGGCTCCTTCATAATGTCACGATCTTGTTAAGCCCTTCTTTCTTCATTAAGCTCTTCCCTTTCTTGCCTAAGTAGCTCTCTTTCTCTCTCATTAGCTTGAAATAATCTCTCAGCAGTTGCAGCTTTTGCCTCCTCTCTAGCCTTATCAGCCTCAAATTTAGCCATTTCCCGTGCCAAGGTCAATTCACCTTGGCGAGCAAGTTCTTCCATATATTTTGCATAATCATTCTTGGAAGCACTCCCTTTTCTCTTTGAAACCTTCATACCTTGAAACCTAATTGGATAATTGATCGACCTCGACCCTTGTTCAGGGGTCGCTTCTGGCACTTGTTCTATGTCGTTTTCATGAACATGCGAGTCATGATCGGGCATAGAGTGTAAAGTGTTGTTCATAACAACTTGTAGACCGACAGGCACAACTCTGAATTTAGGACAATATTTGACAATATTCCAACATTACCACCGGGTGAATGCTTTGTTTTTGTTTTTGGTTTTGGTTTTGGCATTATACCAAGCTTGTGCTTGAAGTGTCTACACAATGCGGGAGAAGAAATAATTATAATCAAAGTACCTAATGTAAATTTGGGTATAGTACAAACAAATAAATAATATATTGTTACCTGATCCGCGAAATTTTCCCCACTTCGAATATTACTACTAGTTTATGCCAAGGTGTCTTTCCAATAACTAAACGATTGGCTGAGTATTCTCCAACGACTGGACATCAATTCTTTGGTTCTTTTCCCACCAATTTTCTCAAGAAAAAGGGTATGAATAAGACTCCACATTTCTCGCAACTGCATCTCATTACCCGTAATTGGATCATGAGTAACTTCAACCTAGCTAGAACACAACGTAACATCTTCAATAAGCGTCCAATTTGTACCTGCATCATTAGTCATTTTGTTGGAAACCAATTGGATTGAAATTTTGAGAGAAATATTGGAATGTGGGTGAAAGTATTTGAGAAAATATGAAATTGTGATGTAAGGTAAAAGATAATGATAAGGTATTTATAGAAAAGTAAAATTATTTTTTTTTCTAATTTTTTATTAAATTTTTACATTTTTTTTATTAACTTAATTAATTTCTGCCGTTGGATTAAAAAAAATTTGAAATCCAACCCTCCAGATTGTGCCACGTGGCACAACAGTAATATATCTAATTCTTTTTCCTTTTTGTCTTATTTTTTTTCTTATTTTTAAAGGCGAATAACGTGGACCATTGATCTGAAATCCAACGAATGATATTGTGTCACGTCATCTAGTCGTTGGGGGGAGGTTTGAATTTTTTTTTACCGTTGGAAATCCAATAGTCCAAAAAATTTATCCGTTGAAATCCAACGAACGAGAATGTGCCACATGCCCCTATAAACAGTAACATTTCAGACCTCTGGACCACGGGCCCCACCAACTGAAAAGTTGTCTGTGACTCGCCCCCACGCGCACGTGTGAGACACGCGCCTGACACAAATTTTTTTAGAACGTGGCTGACGTCAACCTTGCATCATCCAGCCTCAGGCACTCAAGCCTGTGATTTGAGCCCACCCTTTCACTCGAGCCCCCCTCAGCCCAATCGTCTCCATGGGCTGGAGCAAAGAGCTAGGGCAATTGGGTAGGAAATTGAGCCAGTACACCGGGCTATTGAATACGGTGGAGTTGCTCTTAAAGGCAACTCCCCACATACGACAATTGATTTTTGAAAACCTCAACTTCCTTCAGTGCTCTAATAAGGAAACTATTAGGTAGACTAATTTTTTAGACCAAATTTGTAAACCATGTGATGTGTCACCAATAGGAAATAAGCACGTTAATCAATACTTAAGTAATTATCAAGTCATCAAGATCACGTCATATAATTTACAAAATATGTTTTAAATAGAAGGTCTCCCTAACATCAAGGGGTTCACTTGTGGGAATAATTCATAGAAAACTAGATTTTAATCCTCAAATAAGATGAAGTCTAGAAAAATATCTTATACAAGATTAAAAATTGATTTTAGTCTCTAAAATCTATTTAATTCCAACATATGTATTCAAATTCTCTTTTTTTATTTATAATTTCATAAATTAAATTTTATGAAAATATTATACATTTTAATTCTCATTATGGTAAGTATAAGAAAATATTTTAGTAGAGATTTTTCGGTACACTTATGTTTTCATATATTTTCTTATGTGCCATTAATTTATTACAATATATTTAGGTACGAACATTTCGGTACACTACATAGTATAATATGTTTAGGTACAGACATTTCGGTACACTCGTTTAGTATAATATATTTAGATACCGATATTTTAGTACACTACTTTAATATCATATATTTAGGTACGGAATTTCCGGTACACTTATATTTTTATATTTTTTCTTATGTGCCATTAATTCACTACAATAT